AAAGAAAAAAACTAAATAAATAGATGCATGTCTATTTTCCAAAATATCTGAAGCTGGGTACTTACAAAGACAAGTTTGTTTGCTTTTATTTATGTATTATTTTTTTGGTACCAAAAATTGAACTCGAGACCTTGTGCTTGCCAGGAAGGCGCTGTGCCCCTAAGCTACATCCCCAGCTCCAAAGACAAGTTTGTTTAACTCACAGTTTGGGACATTGAAAGTCCAAGATGGGCTGTCCCATTGCCTTGGTCTCTAATGAGGGCTATTTGGAGGATGGCATCATGGCAAGATGCATGCAAGAGAAAAAGCCCAAAAGCAAGAGAAAAAGCCATAATGAGAAGTGTGGTCATTTGGCTGTCGTTATAACAACCACCTTGCAAGAACTAACACAGACACCCATGAGAACTCCCTTGATCTGGAGGAAGGAATGAAAGAACAGAGGATAGAGGATGTTCAGAGCAGTGAAATTATTGTGTATGATGCTACAGTGGTGGACACATTTCATTACACATTTGTCAAAACCCATAGAAGGTACACCACCAAGAATGAACTCTAAGGTCAGCTAGAGGCCTGGGATCATAACGGTGCACCAGTGTTGGTTCACCCATTTTAACAAATGTACCACTCTCCTGGGGATATTGATAGTGTGGAGGATGTGCATTTGAATGAGCAAGGGATATAAAAACTGCATTTGCTGCTCTATTTTGCTACTGACCTAAACCATCCTAAAAATAAAGTTTAATGAAAAATTACCGAGCTGTTGATAGAAACATGTCTACTTTCATGCTCAGAAATTTACCTTTAAAGCTAGTACTGAATAACCCATATTACTGGCATTGACTTCAGTTTCAAGGGAAAAGACTGACGGACATACTACTCCCTGGAAGAAATACTTGTCACCAAATTCTTTTCCAAATATCTTATTTTGGTGATGGTTTCTATGAAAAGTATACTCAAAACATCAAAGTATGTAGTAAGGTCTTGGTACGCTAAAAACACTATAGAAAATATGTAAAATAAAATTATGTCAGTATGACCAGATTATGGAGGGTCCTTCATAACTCTTACATAGTTTTTAGTATTTTTCAACTTTTTTGTGGTGAGTATGTATATCCACAACAAACACACCCTATTTCAAAGAGATAGATTTGTATATTGCATGCAAAGTTATTACACAAATATACACTACGTCATCATCATCATTACTATTCAAGGGAGAATAGTGAACATAAGAAAATAAGAAGAAGATAAGACTAAAATATACCAGAATGGGAAAGATGATTTAACTATGGCTAGCTTTATGTGATTAGATGAAGAGAAGTTTTAGACCTACTTTTTGGTGTTCCAGTTATATAATAAATCTACATTTCATGTGGGGAAGCTTTTTCTTAAATAAAAACTCAATAATACTATGTATAGAAGAACACTTCTCAAATAAATTTGAGCATGAAGGAGTTGTTATGACTGTTGTGGTGAGTATTTTGAAAGATTAGCAGAAGCAGGGGCAATCTGACATTTAGTTGATCTTTCCAGGGAAGTGGAACAAATAACACTCTTTTAAAAAATAGTAACTAATGTTGAAACTTAGTGTTTCTAGTATGATTCATAAGTGAAGTGTCAGATTTTTCTGGGCAGAATTTCACCATTAACTGAACCCAAGAAGGCCTATACTTCACAAACAAAAGAGAAAAATATCTTGCCTCCTTTATTTAACATTGTTCCAGAGTAATCTCAAAAACCTGTCTCAAGACAGTTCTTCCTGGAGTAAACTATTCTTGGCAGCACATGAATAAGACGAGAGTGTCTAAAGACACATGCACAGAGCGCTTTACACATATCAGCTCTGAGCCTCACAATGACGGTGGAAGGAAATACTCATGGCCCACTTTGCAGATAAGGAAACAGAGTGAAAGAAGTAGAGAGTCATCTTCACATCGTCATCTTTCACATCGCACAGAACTTAAATTTATGTCTGCCTCACTCCAAAGTCTGTGTTCCTCTTTCTATCTCTCTGTTTCAACACAACAGGTGGGGTCTTTGCCAGGACAACGCATCTATTCACAATGTGCTTTGCATGAAATTTTTGACTCATTATCACCAGCAAGATGCCTGAGCTAATTTACAAAATGTGACTGCATAATGAAGGCTGCTATTTCCAAAGGCAAAATTCCAGCCACAAAGGACAAAGGCTGAACCAACAGAACTTTACAGAAGGAAGTAACATAGATAGTAAGGACATTTTCAAAAATATCTGGAAACAGACGAATCGATGTATCATTTGGTAGTGATCATATCATTTAGAAGCCAAATTTCTTAAGTGCCCCCCACTTAAAATAATAATCTGGTTATTTTAACCCCCAAAGCATAGTAAGAGTGACTTCGTCATTCATTCTTTATTCCCCATTTTTTGTTACTCCAAGAATGATTTCCTCTAACTTTTATTTTAACCATAGTTTATATAAGTTTGGATTATTCAAAACCAGATCCGGAAGAAGTGAACTCCTAGAAGGCAGTTTGACTTTCCTTGTCTCTATGACCCAGTGGAGTTCAGCACAGTGACTGACAGGAACCAACAACTTATATTAAATTATATTGAGAGAATAGGAAGATAATAAAGAAATAAGTTTCAGATGTGATCTGAGCATCAGGAGGGCTTACCCTTCAGACTTTCAACAACAACCTCGTAGTCTTGGTCAACATTGGGAAAACTGTTCATGAACCTTGTGTCTTTATCATGGTACTTCTACTTGTAGGTTAAAAAGAAACCTTTCCCTGCCTTGGGCTTTGACTTCTGATTTCCAAGGCAGCACAATGGGAGGGACAAAGAGAAGGGATGAAAAAGGAAGAAAGGAGGAGCCAGAGATCCCTTCTTCCTCTGCAATAGCCTGCTTTGGACATAGCCAGAGTTTGGCCGAGCAGAACCCATAGTCATATCCTACCTGTAGTCTGCTTTTGCACAGCCCATGAACAAAGAGTGATTTTGACATTGCTAAATGGTTGGGAAAATTCTAAATAGTATTTCATGGCTTGCAAAAATCAACTGAAAGTTGATGTGTAATGCCCATAAATAAAGTCCCACTGGAGCTGGGTCATACTCCTTTATCATATAATACCATTACTGCTTTCACACACCAGCAGTAGGATGGAGTGCTTAGGACAGAGACCAAATGGACCACAGCCACGATATGTTTACTGCCTAGACCTTCACAGAAAAAAACAGCTGGCTGACCCCTGACATGGAGGGTCAAGCGAGTGATGAGAAAACAAAATGGAGTCCAGGATATGTGCGTCTATGTAAATGAGGGGCAATCTTCCCAAATAATGAAACTAAGACCCTTTGCTCCTGCAAGAACAGGTCGTGTATCGGCACTGCCTGTGTAAACCCCTCCCCTGCGACCTTCATGAGACCAGCATTTTCTAGGCATCCATGCAGAAGTAGGAAGCATTCTGATGACTTGCCCCCTCCCCATCTTCCTTCCTCTCATTTCTTCACATTCTATTTTCTGAGTGGTTGTCAGAGGAACGCTGAATCCTGCTGTCGCCTTTCAGACCCCAGAAGCAGTTTCTGACAGTCTTGGCACTATGAAGCATTAGAAGCTCGTATCACAGTTCTGCAGCTGCCTGGTCCTAGTTCAGGCCCAATGAGCTTTTCATAATGCATGTGTTCTTTATATATATATATATATATATATATATATATATATATATTCACTCCAACTGGATAGAGGGAGAAAAATCTTTCTGCTTCTTGCCAAGCCTGAGAGAAAAAGCCCTTTCATAAGCAAAGCCATTTCATCCATTGCAAAAATGTGGCTGCCCCTCCTTTGTAGAGCACTAGTACTCCTTATTGTATGTGACCTGCTCCAGTCCTGACCCAGACCTACAGAGAGAGACAGAGACAGATACAGAGACTCAGGTGAGAACAGGGCAATCAGGCAAGAGACATGATAATACCAGCACTATAAACCCTCACACATGGGGTTCTCAAGAGAATCATCTTCAAGCAGGGGAAACCAAAATTTGGGCAGCGGAGTGTGTGTGGTCCTCTTCTGTGATTTACTTATCCATCTTAGTCAATATGATGAACAAAATATCTTTTTTTAAAAGAAAAAATGCCTGGGATAAGGTAGAGAAAGAAACTATAACAAAATGATAACAGTGTCTTTAGGCGGGAGAAAAAGGGATGATCTGTGCTTTTTATTTCAATGATTCTGCACTCCCTCTTTTCTCATTTTGATGTGAAGCTGGAGAGAAGGGTGTGAAAGCAGAGCTCCCAAGCACACAGAAAACCTCAATGAGCACTGACTTAGCCAAAGATGTGTGGGCTGCTTCCCAAGTCCAGTTAGTGAAGGGCTAATCAGAAAGTATTGCTTTGGGGAATGCTTTCAAAAATGTGCTTTATAATATTCTCTCTCTTGCAGCTTAAGGACTAAAAGTTAAACACAGTTGGCTGCATCCCACCATCCCAAGGGTGCTTAGCCAGATTTAGGATCTTTTCTCAACGTCACCTTTTATAAACAGGAAACGGGAAAATTCCCATTGACCTCCAAATACACAGACCAATAGATGGCCACAAGGTCCCAATAGTCTCTCTCTCTCTCCCTTGCTCCCTCCCTCCATTCCCCTCCTTTCCTTTGTCTCTCATCAAAGCACACTACATACATAAAATCTGAATTAACTGAAACATTAAATGACTAAAATTTTACTCTAGGAGAAAGACACACACTTCAGCTAAGCTCAGTGACTGAATAAATCCATAAAGGTCCACTCCTTCATTACACCACATTACACTAACATGAGAGGATTTAAAACAAATAAATAAATAAAGCCATAAAGACAAGAAAGAGAGGACAGACAATAGCTTCAGCATTTAGGAAGCTAGAAAACAGAAAGTATGATATACTTCTTACATCAGACCCAAGAACGTTGACTCCTAAAAGCCAGCAGTGGGAAAACAACCAGAATCCCCCAAAGGTACCAGAATTGACAGCATGCTTTACCTTTGGAGGCAGATGCAAAGGTAAGGATGAAAGCAAGGTTGCCTTCTACGTAAGTCCCAAGTAGATCTCAAGTCTTCTTCCTGGCCTGGGTGGCTACACCCCCTCTCGATAGCAGCAGCCTGGAGGTTTCTTCTCTATACGTTAAAACATTGACTCTGGGCTGGAGCTCTCTATGCACAGGGTGCTGAAAATGGTAGCCACAGGTGAACATTTATGCACCAAATACTATGATCCTCCAATTCACCTGCCGCATGGTTCCAAGGAGGGTGGTAAACATGTACAAGGAGGTCACATGATGTTTTTCTAGAGAATATTTCCCCAGACCATGTGAAAAGGCTGAAAATATTTGTATGAAGGGAAGGGACAGGTTCGCAGAAACTGACCCAGCTGGATCACCTTCCAAAGAAAACAAGCACGGAGCTTTCATCAGCTTTGAGCTTCCCAGTGCTCCATTTTTAAACAGAAACAGAGAGCTAAGGGTCAGCTGAGCCAAGCCACTTACATGAATAACACAGACCAGAGCAAACAGACAAAAACAACCTGGGTGGAAAGAATGTGCTAGGGAAAAATCCCTTCGAAAACCTACAGTGTATGTCCTCAAAGAGATAAAATCTTATTTTCAAGACATAAGAACCAGATTCAGAAAATAAAACACCCTTGGAAACTGAAAATATGATAACAGGTTTTCAAAATATTCTCATTAGAAAGGTAGGGAGATAAAGTTGAGTAAAAAACCCATGATTCCTTCAAAAATGCAATGGAAAAGGGTGAAAGATGGAAGAAAAAAGATAAGAACACTAAAATAAATTCAATATCTAAATAATAAGAATTTAAGAGAGAGATAAAGCATAGCCACACAATAAAAGAAAGAAAAAATGTTCCCCCAAACTGAAAAACATAATTTCCCAGATTGAAACAATGAAAAATCACACCAGCTACATCACCTTGAGAACTTAGAGGACAGAACAAAGAGAAAATAAGCAAAGCTTCCAGAAATTAAAAATCAAACATTTGCAAAGAATCAAGAATTGGAGTAGTTGCAAGGTTCTCAACAGCAACACCAGAAGCTAGGTAATAATCAAGTAGAAATTTCAAAATGTGAAAGGGAAATTATTTCTAACCTAGAATTCTACATCATCTAATCATTCTTTTAAGGGTAGATGAGTAATGAACTCATTTTTTAGAAAACTTTGCTTTAGTGCAGTCTTTCTTTAGGAAGTCTTGGAAGATATACTCCAACAAAATAAGAGAGTATATGAAGAAACTAAAACAGACATAGGATCTAAGAATTAGAAGCCCAGTACAATAAAAGCACAGATTAACTCTCAAACTGGATGTAAAGCCAGACTCCAGGATGACAGCAGTGCCACTGACTAAAAATCAACAACTAAACCAGGCATGATGGTGCATGCCTTTAATCCCAGCACTCGGGAGGCTGAGGCAGGAGGATCATTGCGAATTCAAGACCAGCCTGGGTTACAAAGTGAGCTCAAGGCCAGCCTGAACTGCATAGCAAGACCCTGTCTCAAAAACAAAACAAAACATAAAAACCAATAACTGCATATTACTGCAAAGAAAGCTCTACAAGAGATGGCTCTATGCAGACAGAATGCAAGGAATACTTGGCATGCATTAATATTGGAGGGAAATTAAGTAAAGGGGAGATACTGAAAATAAACTAATAACGACTACAGAAAAACTGAAAACAACTCAGAAAATAATTATTTTCAGAAAAAGTCAATTTACGGCAGAAAGGCAAATTTATCATAGTGTACATACAGAAATGGCATTTTATATAGTCATAAAAACACAACTGCTAAATATTGATACATCAAGATGATGCAGTGTTTGGGGGAACATGGAGGTGGACAACAGGGTGGGAAGTGTGCCTTGCAGAAAAGTGCTGAAAGGAAAAGTCAGAGAACATCCACATCCCCCAAAATGGAGGAGCAGCAGGGTATGCACATTATTTACACATATGAAGCCAAATACCAAAAAAAGCTACTGTAAGAGTTGAAAGCAATTGCCTCTAAAGGGTGGAAAAATAGGGGCCCTGGAGATAGGAAAGTGACGAACTTCATAATAAGGCTTTTATAGAAGGGCTTCACACCGTAAACATGCATGTTAGGAACTAAAAAACTCTACGAGTAAATTCAAACATACACACATATATGACACATCCAAATACAAAAAAGCAAACCTATACAGGGAAGAGAAGATAAAAGGAAGTAGGTGGGAACTAAAAGAAGAAGAAGAAGAAGAAGAAGAAGAAGAAGAAGAAGAAGAAGAAGAAGAAGAAG